CGATCTGTTGCCGGTCACGAAAAAAAGACAAAAAGGAAAAAAAAATAAAATAAAATAAAAATAAATTTGAAAACAAGGCATTTTCAGTACAATTAGGTTCTAAAATATCTAGTCAGCTTATGATAGTTAAAGAAATTCTTGGGCCGGCCCGGTGGCGCACTGTGCTAGTGCGCCGCTTGGGAAGCGCGGAGGCGCTCCCGCCGAGGGTTCGGATCCCACATACAGACCGGTTCCCGCTCACTGGCTGAGTGAGGCGCGGGGGCAACGCCGAGGGTTGCGATCCGTTGCCGGACACGGAAAAAGACAAAAAAAAAAAAAAAAATGAAATTCTTAATTCTCAGTTTCCCAAATGAATGTAAATTTACTCAAGTATCTTCTTTAAAGTAGGTAATATAAATTAATGTTTGCAATTTTTGCAATAACAAAAGTTCCTGATAGAAGAACAATGTTCTATGAGTAATTCCTCACCCACAATCTATTTTGTGAGTTTAGTTTTCATAGATCAGGGCACGAGGTACTTGCCTATCCACATCAAAAGGACCTGTTTCTTATTCTTCAGATTCTACTCATGCATTCAGAACCGTTCCTAGGCTGAGAAAGAACATATTGATTTTGATATTCTGTGTAGAATCAACAAAGTCTCACAGGGATGGGAGGAGACAAATGCTTCAGGACCATAGGAGGAGCTCAGGTGATCATAAATCAGAGAAAGATGTCGGTCCTGAAGAAAGAGCCACTAACCCTGGAGGGAGAGCTGCCTCGGTGCATTGATGACTGATGAGCCGACACCAGTTGGAGATGAGAGTAGCTCTAGCAATGCTCAAAGAGTGGGTGGGAAGAATGTGGTTAAATCATCCAGAAGAGCCACAGCAGAGAAAGCGGTGGAGAAAGAGTCTGCAGTGGATGGGTTTCAAATACTATCTGGGGGGCTCATTATAGAAGGTAGAGCGAAGCACTTTGAAATGGTTTCTGTTGCTCATTCTTCCAGTAAAAGTACCAACCATTGAAACTCAGCTTCTTAGTCAGATTCCCCAGCGAAATCTAAATCCTACCCTTCCCGCCGCCTATTTGTTCCACACACAGACCACTCTCCAGAGGTATTCAGGCCTGACAGCGTGAAAGGATACAATTCAACTGATCACAAAGAATCTCACGCAGGCCCCTAAAGACAAATATACAGCATGGAAAAAGGAGAGATTAGAAAGATTTTTTTTTTTTAAGAAAGAAATAATATGCTAAACATTTTCTAGACATTCTCTAAGTATCTTTCTACACATCAAGGCCACATTAATCTCCCCAAAACATTGCTTTCACCATGCCATTTCTTTATTCAGAGACAAGTAAGTAGTGATTCAAGCACTTTAGTCTGGGATAGGGTTATGAACTGAATCGTGTCCTCTCAAAATTAGGGGTGAAGCCCTAACACCTGCTGCAACTGTATTCAAAGACGGGGCCTTCCGGGGGGGAGTAATTATGGTTAGTTGCGGTTGGAACGGTGGGACCCTGATCCAGTACGACTGGTTTCTTTGTAGGGAGAGGAAGAGACAACAGAGCTACTTCTCTCTCTGCGTGCAGGCACAGGAAAAGCTATTGAAGGACACAGTGAGAAGGCGGCCATCAGCAAACTAGAAAGAGAAGCCTCACCACAGCTCTGCTGGCACCTTGATCTTGGACATTCAGCCTCTAGAACTGTAAAAAATATGAATTTCTGTTGCTTAAGCCTCCTGGTCTTGGTATTTTGTTATGGCAGCCTGAGTAGACTAATACATACAGTACATAGGATTTACCACATATTTTTAAACAACCTCTCCAGTCATATCTATTCGTCCCTACTTTTCAGTCCAAGCATCATCTATTTAGTATGCCTTATGAATTCTAGCCCCCATATCTTTGTGTGTGATGCCCCCCATCTTTGTTCATGCTTTTTTCTGCCATAGATGTTGACTGTTACCCATTTTTCAAGTTCCATCAGAGGTCCTTGTCCCTCATCCCAGATAGGCACAGTGCTCCCCTCCTCTGAACTCCTACTGAGTTTCCTGCATGCACTACTAATTTGAACTTTATCACATTCTGTTAGTACTTTTCTAAGAGGAATGTGAGCTTCCTTAGGATATGTTTTTTTTACACAGACAACCTGCATTCATCATTAAAAAATATGGAACACATGGAAAAACACACAGGAAAGAAAAATAAAGGTCTCCCATAATATGTCTGTCCAAAAATAAATACAATAGAATCTTTCCAGTCTTTTTTCTATAGGTGTGCCTGTATGTGTATAGACCATACAGGTGTATAGACAACATACATGCACACCTAACTCCACCTGCTTTATTTTATGCTTCTTTTACTTAGTACATCTCGAACATCTCTACTGTCATTATTCTTTCTAAAAGTTTATTTTAATTGAGCTATAATATTCCATCCTATGAACTATAATTCATTGAAATAATTCTCTATTGATGAGTTTTTAAATTATTTCTAATCTAGCTCCATTATAAATAGCACTGTGATAAATATTCTTAACAAACAATCTTTGCATAACTGAATGAAAATATCCTTGGGATAAAGTTCCAGAAGTGGATTTTCCTATGATATGTGTAGCCAAATTGTTCTCCCAAAGAGCTGTACTTCCATCAACAGGATAGTGTCCATTTCTCTACATGCCCAAATAAACCTTGTGTATATTTTCCAAAGTTTTCACAATTTGAAATATTAATTTAAAGAGATCATAGAAAACGTTTTACTTTATTCCTCCTACTGCTACCACCACTTTTGATGTCACCCCATCTATTACACAGCACTATTAAGTTTACAAAAATCTTTTCACAGACATAAATTACAATAATACTTCACAGTATCTAATCAATTACAATAATACTTCACAGTATCTAGCACAGTGCCTTTCATATGTAAAGTCCACAAAAAATTATATGATCATGGACTAATAGTTACAGAGTGCCTGTTATATGCTACAGTGTGAGTCACATAAATGAAAAAGTCATCCCCAAACTAAGTATTTTAAATATATGCGATCTCTGTAAAAGTTATTGCCAATTTTTGCTATCCTAAATATGGTAGGCTGTCTTTTCCCCATTGTCCCTACTCTACCCTTTATCTATTTTTAAATCATTGCATATTCTCACTAATTTATTGGTTCTAGTTGCAATGGTTAAGTGTATTTTAAGACTTAGCATCTACAGCATGAACTCTGTAATTTTTTAAGAAACCAACAAGGAAGAAACATTTCAGCATTGTTCAGCCTTTTCTAGAAAGTTCTCTTCTGAAAATTTTTCATTCTCTTTTTTAAAAAATCACTTTCATTTTTATCCCTGGGTACGTGAAGTTCCTTGATGTGTATTCCTAGTTTTGAGTATACATTTTCTGAATTTTTATCTCTTATTTCTCAAGTACAGCAAATTGGTTTTCAACTTCTGAGATCCGGTTGCTTTCACCCTTTTGTTCAAAGTCCCTATCAAAGAGGAGTGGTCTCCCTTATACCTTCAACTAGACCAGTCTTCAGGGGCAGAGCTCATCCGAGGTGCCCTTCATCAGCCACCATGAGCTTCTCTAGGCCAGTCTACCTCACCGTCTTGCATTTCCAATCCCCCTTTCCAACCTCTCATCTTTATGTGACTTTCTCTTGTCCCAGAAAAATTTATAAAAGCGTTTCACAAAATAAAGAAGACAAACTAATATTTAAGATATCATTGCAACAGATAAGACTTTTTAAAAAGACTGCCAAAGTCCATTTATTATGTGGCTAAGGTTTTCATTTAAAGATTAGGACAAAATGTCAAATTTTAGAATTATATTCCTGATATTACAAACAATAAATGAACTGCGACTCATCTTTTCCTTAGTCAATGTGTTAATTTTAGAAAGTGGAAATTCTGCCATTTCTAGAACTCTGGGTAGTAGGAAGGTGGTAGGCTTTCTCTAATGAGTACTGTTGTTTTTCTTACATAGAACATCTCTAGTGAACAATTCGTGATAGGGGAAATCACTTTTTTGTGAACTGAATTTAAAATGGATGAGGAAAATTATTTTAAATTATTTTAAAGTTTAGATTTTACTCTTTGGCTAGAGTGGGTTTAATTGGCATTGCTCTTTGCTAGCTGCATCATATTCAGATTCATACATGTGTCAGACAGTATTGGACTTCACATTTTCATACATACAGCTCAATTATTTTAAAGTTTAGATTTTACTCTTTGGCTAGAGTGGGTTTAATTGGCATTGCTCTTTGATAGCTGCATCATATTCAGATTCATACATGTGTCAGACAGTATTGGACTTCACATTTTCATACATACAGCTCGTTTAATTATCAGATAAACCTCACAAGAAAAGTGTTGTTCCCATTTAACAGATGAGAAAATCAGAGTCAGAGAAGTAAAGTAATTTACCTGACCTTACAACCTAGAAATGTGAGAGCTGGAATTTGAACCCAGGCCAATGAAACACTCCTTTCCCACTAGATTTACCTCTGAAATAGTTTTGCCCCAGGCATAAGTGCCATCTTCAGGTTTGCCTCCATTTAGGTAAATCCATACCCGTTTTGTATTGGGTTGCTTATACAGGCTGCTCTGCTGGACTGCTATATGTTTAGTTGCAACTGGAGAATTTCTTTTGGATTGCAGTTCTTGAACTTCAGAAAGGTGTGCCTGTCAAGAAAAGCCCAGAGAATGCCATGCTTAGAGAACTGTCTATTTAGTGTCTATAAAGAATGTGATGAAAGCCAGAAATATCTTGTAATAATAAATTATGCTGAAAATTTTTTAGGAAGTAGCTATTAAGTGCATTAGCCTCTTCTGTCACTGACTCTTCAGTAAATTCCTTGTGCTTCAATGAAACACTAAAGACAATAACAATCATTAGAGTAATAATGATAAGGTACTCATTTTGGCAAAGCACTTAACTTTCATTTATTTAAGGGAGAAATGAAGAAAGATGTGTTTCTAGACTTTTGTATGGTGTTTCTCCCGCTGAAATATTTCTCTGCTTCTAACAGATGAGTTTTTCATTATAATCACATCATTTCCTTTAATCAAGAAACCTTTAAGAGAGTATACATGAGTGTTGTTTAAGTCCCTAATTGCTGTCTTTTAAAATACAGCAGCCACCCTTATACTTTGCCAGATCCCTGCCAGACAGCTTTTTAATCCTACTTCAAGCATATTCTAGCTCAGTGCTTTGCATTCATTCCCTGGTCAGTGATTTATCCTTCTTAGCTTGGCAAAAAAATCATATTTCTGGCTATGTCAATTTCTTTTTTCTAGTAAACTTCACTTGGGCACATGGCTGAGATTTTGACTGAACGCATTTCATGAATTTGAGAAACCCTATTAAATAGGAACATATCATTTTGATGAAAAACTTCACAAAGCAAAAAGTTTTCCCCAATCTCTATCCCCAGTCCTCTCTCAACAGCTGACCTTTATCTTTTCCACTTTTTTATGTCTGGCAATCCTGACTGATTAACCAACTGGACTGAAACCACTTTTTGAATTCCTCACTTCTGAATGTCCCCATTGCAATTAGTATTTTGCTCCTTGCTCTTTTTACATATTGAGACATACCCTTAGGAGTGATGAGCAATGAAGCCATACGGCTCAACTTGACTACACTTACTATAATTACCTTTGTACATATCCACTGGGCCTTTTTCTCTTCTTTGCTAAGGTCATAATTTCTGGTCTTCATTCAAACAAAACAGACTTTCATATGAGCTGGCTGTCTTTTAGATAGCTACTCTCCAAATGCCAATTCAATGCTTGGCATATGCTTATGTGGTCATAACTGATCAGATGCTTAGACTATATTAATAGCATAATTTTAAAATTCAATATTGTACTTTTAAATGCTTATAAAAGAGGCAGAGTCTTTAATGTCTGGAGTCCTTAATAACGTACCTCTGTATGTCTTATAAGTTCCATGAGTTTAATTTCCTCTTGAGTCTGCTCAGTCCAGCCTCCCTCAACCACCACCGGCTGCACAGGGCTTTTGGTGGCAACCATGGTGGCTGGCTGACATGCTGCTACTCGCCGCCCTGGGGAAACAAGTTGCTGGAAATTTTGTTTCTGATGATAGACTTACTGATTTCAAATAAATTGGTTTGGTTTTTCTATGCATAAATCATTCCACACAGGAGTATAGGATAAAATACTAAATATATCATAAAAGCAAAGATGCCTAAGGTAATAATATCTAACAATACCTCTTCATATGGGAGCTTGAGGCTTGAAATAGCCAGGATATGCATATTTACTCTACAGATGGAAAAGAAAGATAACATGCTGACTTCTACTGGCCCCAGCCTCGCATCCACGATGCGGTTCAGCAGTAATTTAGTCAAATAGAATTCATGCCCTTATATAGTCCCCATCATCTCTTCCAGTCTTGGAACATATGTTTTGTTCTCTTCACTAATAATAAGTCTTCTCCCAACAATTAGCTTAGAATAATGTCATCACAAAAGGTTTTAGTTTGAGAAAACATTTTCATAATAAACTATTATTTATGTAGGTAAGAATAAGATAAATTGAATCCAAGCAAAAATGTATTGAAAAAATTACTTTTTATTTTCTTATTACATCTTTCCATATTTCCTATTTTATTTCACATAAGATCAGGGGATAGAAATGACAATAGCTAACTATGAATGGAAAATGCCTCTTCCCTACTTCTAATGTTTCATTTCAAGTGGATGGAGCCCCACTGATACTGCAAATGATTGAAAATTAGGGGAAAAAGCTGAGGATTCTTGGTCCGTTTTCATCATTTTTTTTCTCTTAGAAGCTAGAGAACATGAGTGCTTTGCTGATCGTTCATGCTATAAGTCCTGGACAGCTCTTGCCATGCTCTTCCCTCATTGTGAGGACCACCCTCGTTCAGTATCACATGTGTGGAAGGATAAGTCCACCCAATTTGGGGTTTTGATTAGTATATCCATTTAGCTCTCACACTAAATTAAATGTTCCAGCATTACCTTTGTATATAACTAAGGTAATACTTGGGCCTGATCTGCTCTTTCTGAGTTTTATTTTTCAGTTTTAAGACCACAAATGGGAAAATAAGCTGCCTTCTCAAGAACCCCAATGTCAATATTTATTTTGTATTTGTTATGTGCTAACCCTGTAGTAAATACATTTTAAATTTGATATAAAAAAACCCTGTAGTAAATACTTGACGTTTGTAACTAAATTATAAAAACCCTACAAAGTAATTGCTACCATTATGATTAATATTAGCAATGATTGTGTTTACAAATGAAATGTAAAATCAGGTTAGCACAGTGTTTTGTACATAGTATATGCTCAATAAACACTTGGTACATTTACCAACAGCTACAATAATATGAAGCAATTGATTTACATATATATATATATCTCCTCTTTTATCCAATCATCAAGAAGCTTACAATCTTATTATAAGTGCAGTTAACTGAGTAAAGGATATGTATTTGCACTATAATTTTCATGAAGTGAAATAATGTCATCACAAAAGGTTTTAGTTTGAGAAAACATTTTCATAATAAACTATTATTTATGTAGGTAAGAATAAGATAAATTGAATCCAAGCAAAAATGTATTGAAAAAATTACTTTTTATTTTCTTATTACATCTTTCCATATTTCCTATTTTATTTCACATAAGATCAGGGGATAGAAATGACAATAGCTAACTATGAATGGAAAATGCCTCTTCCCTACTTCTAATGTTTCATTTCAAGTGGATGGAGCCCCACTGATACTGCAAATGATTGAAAATTAGGGGAAAAAGCTGAGGATTCTTGGTCCGTTTTCATCATTTTTTTTCTCTTAGAAGCTAGAGAACATGAGTGCTTTGCTGATCGTTCATGCTATAAGTCCTGGACAGCTCTTGCCATGCTCTTCCCTCATTGTGAGGACCACCCTCGTTCAGTATCACATGTGTGGAAGGATAAGTCCACCCAATTTGGGGTTTTGATTAGTATATCCATTTAGCTCTCACACTAAATTAAATGTTCCAGCATTACCTTTGTATATAACTAAGGTAATACTTGGGCCTGATCTGCTCTTTCTGAGTTTTATTTTTCAGTTTTAAGACCACAAATGGGAAAATGAGCTGCCTTCTCAAGAACCCCAATGTCAATATTTATTTTGTATTTGTTATGTGCTAACCATGTAGTAAATATTTGACGTTTGTAACTAAATTATAAAAACCCTACAAAGTAATTGCTACCATTATGATTAATATTAGCAATGATTGTGTTTACAAATGAAATGTAAAATCAGGTTAGCACAGTGTTTTGTACATAGTATATGCTCAATAAACACTTGGTACATTTACCAACAGCTACAATAATATGAAGCAATTGATTTACATATATTTATATCTCCTCTTTTATCCAATCATCAAGAAGCTTACAATCTTATTATAAGTGCAGTTAACTGAGTTAAGACTTGTTATTTATCCTCATAATCTCAAAAGCTAGAAAAAGGCCTTCCTCAGAGTAAATATTTTCTAAGCATGTGTTGAATTTATATTTCATAGCAGAAAACATACCAGTTTGTCAGAGACAAGATGTATCCTAGCACTAAATTTTAAGAGAAACTACTTCAATGGATCCCTCCATAGTGGACATTCATGAACCAAATACAGACTGTTTTCAACAGTAATAATGAAGATGATGCCAAATACACTTTAAATGCATTTCTAATACCCAATTGTAAAGAAAGCCGAAGTCCTGACATAAAATCAAAGTAAAGGCAGCTCCACCAGGTGCTATTTTCAGTATGTTGTTTTCCACTGATTTAACTTGATACAGGAATATAGCTTACAAAACTGGAGTGAATGGCTAAATTCTACTCAGTTTTTAATCGTACATAGTATATGCTCAATAAACACTTGGTACATTTACCAACAGCTACAATAATATGAAGCAATTGATTTACATATATTTATATCTCCTCTTTTATCCAATCATCAAGAAGCTCACAATCTTATTATAAGTGCAGTTAACTGAGCTAAGACTTGTTATTTATCCTCATAATCTCAAAAGCTAGAAAAAGGCCTTCCTCAGAGTAAATATTTTCTAAGCATGTGTTGAATTTATATTTCATAGCAGAAAACATACCAGTTTGTCAGAGACAAGATGTATCCTAGCACTAAATTTTAAGAGAAACTACTTCAATGGATCCCTCCATAGTGGACATTCATGAACCAAATACAGACTGTTTTCAACAGTAATAATGAAGATGATGCCAAATACACTTTAAATGCATTTCTAATACCCAATTGTAAAGAAAGCCGAAGTCCTGACATAAAATCAAAGTAAAGGTAGCTCCACCAGGTGCTATTTTCAGTATGTTGTTTTCCACTGATTTAACTTGATACAGGAATATAGCTTACAAAACTGGAGTGAATGGCTAAATTCTACTCAGTTTTTAATCCAACCATTCTACAACTATTTAGAGAACAAATTAGAAGGGTATAGAATTTATAATCTAATATAGGAGAGACAGTCACATGAACAAATAATTATAATAATGTGATGAGGACTATCAGAGGGGAAGTTCAGGGTGTGATAAACCACATTATCCCAGACTTGGAATGTTGAGAAAGGCTTCTGGAGATAAGTAACAAGCAAGCTTAAAAATACACAGAATGAGTAGGAGCAAGCTAAAAAGACAGGAGAGGGAAAACTTTGAAGCACAGCGAACTGAATTGTGCCAAAAGCTCAGTTAAGAAAGTACGTGGTATGTCTGGGGGACTAAAAGAAAGTTCAAATGGATGAAGTGTAGTGGTTATGCATTTCTAATACCCAATTGTAAAGAAAGCCGAAGTCCTGACATAAAATCAAAGTAAAGGTAGCTCCACCAGGTGCTATTTTCAGTATGTTGTTTTCCACTGATTTAACTTGATACAGGAATATAGCTTACAAAACTCACTGGAGTGAACGGCTAAATTCTACTCAGTTTTTAATTCAACCATTCTACAACTATTTAGAGAACAAATTAGAAGGGTATAGAATTTATAATCTAATATAGGAGAGACAGTCACATGAACAAATAATTATAATAATGTGATGAGGACTATCAGAGGGGAAGTTCAGGGTGTGATAAACCACATTATCCCAGACTTGGAATGTTGAGAAAGGCTTCTGGAGATAAGTAACAAGCAAGCTTAAAAATACACAGAATGAGTAGGAGCAAGCTAAAAGGACAGGAGAGGGAAAACTTTGAAGCACAGCGAACTGAATTGTGCCAAAAGCTCAGTTAAGAAAGCACATGGTATGTCTGGGGGACTAAAAGAAAGTTCAAATGGATGAAGTGTAGTGGTTAAGGAGAAAGAGAAACATACAGAGAATGAGGTGATAAAGGGCCATATTAAGTAGTTTCAACACTGTCCTAAAGATAATAGGGAGCATTGAAAGGTTTTATACCCAGAGCACCATAATACCCTTGCATTTTTGCATGATCACCTCAACTCCAGAATGTCACCATTATTCATAGAACAGAAATTACTGTCAAGACTAGAAGCAGGGGGACCAGTTAGAAAACTGCTCCAGTAATCCAAGGAATAGATGATGGTAGCTTAAATTTGGAGAATGACAGTGGAGACTAAGAGGATTAGAATTCATTTGAGATAACAGATTGAAAGTAATGCAACTTACTGAATACTTGCTTGGGGAGGGTGAGAGAGAGGCAGATGACAGGAATGACAGGTTTCTGAGATGTAACGCCTGGGCAGATGCTGGTAGAAACCACTACTAAAGGAAACAAGAGGCACTGATGCAGGAATGATAGGGTAGCTTTAGTTTTGGACATATCTGTGGGACATTCAAGTGAAAATGTCTAGAGGTAGGAGTAGTAGGGGTTAGTAGTAACAGATGCTTTTCACTTGCACCCAACCATTCTTTTGGTAAGAACAGGGTAACAGCCATTTCAGACCAGAGTTCTGTATAGTGGGACAGCTAGGACTAGTTGTGCTGTTTATAGAAGCAAGATCCATATGCTTTTGATGCAAGACAGCGCACACACTCAGGAGCTGAAATTCTGCTATGGCAATTACAGAGCTTGAAATGCATTCCTTCCTACACTAAAGTCCATGGTACATTATTTCTCCCCAAAGAACTATCTGTATCTCAAGTTCTGGGAATAGCATAAGGTTAGGAATTTAAGATTCTGTGACAAAGAGAGCGGAAAAAGAGGACAAAAATGCCAATTGATCACTTTGACCATGAATAGCATATCTAATGCTGCATTAAAAGGAGGAATCCTTTTGAGATATTGACATTGAACTTTGAAGATTCTCACTCAGATTATATTTTTTTAAAAAAAATCTTTCCCAGCAATACCTACGGAATGACAGCAAGTTTTGTTAAAAGACTAATTCCAAAGCCTATAAAACATCATTTCAGGAATTATCTGACCCAGACACTTCCTAATTTTTTAATGCATATATAAATCATGTGGCATTCATTTTCATTTAAAATTTTCAAATATAAAATTAGCACTAAAAAGATGATACGTTATCAGGTTTTAGATCTTGCTCAAGTGGATTTACGTAACACAATATTTATGTAGTATTCATTGGTTAAACACCTGGTATTTAACAGTAGAAAACAGCTATCAGCAAATTGAGGTTACATTTTGAATTAAACAAGGTTATGCTTGGTTTAGTTCACACTCACCTTTTAACTGTCTCATTTTGTGTTTCATGGTATCTAGATCAGCCAAAATTTTGTCCTTTTTTAGCCAGTTCTGTTTCTCTAATTTTTCTGCTTTCTGCAAAGCTATAATAAAAATACATGATATTTTATCTTGCATTCTTTTATCAACAGTAATTTATCATGCACACCAATAACTTATAAAGAACTTTCTGCTCCAAGAAATAGATTCAATTAGAAACAAGTAATTAAAAGGTAAGGGTCATTAAAAGAAACCTCATTTGAAAGATGACGAGGCTGAAGGCATTTCTTTATGAAATGGAGGGAGAAAAAAAGAGAAGAACAGTGCTATTTTATTATATAGATTTACCATATGCAATAGCCATATTTCATTTTCCACTTCCACAAACTATTTGGAGGTGATGAAAGCCTGGCTTGGAATCATTCATTTTTTAAACATCCACCTACTGCCTAAAGGGTGCAATTCTTAAAAATGAAAATGTGCAGACAGGTCGTCCTCAGTGTGAATTAAACTCATTTGTTATTTTCTAATGTATACCATTATTCTCAGTCTTATAGACCAAGGACCTCTTTGTCAATTAAATTAGACATTTTTCTATGCAGACTACTCCATCCCCCAGTAAGAAAAAACAGGCAATTGTGCAAATATGGAAGCATGGCTGTCCTTGTGCACATATTAATTGATGAACTTGCTGTTCTTTGCATAAATGTGATGTTATTATGTTGACATTATACACATTTAATTCATTTGCTTATGATGACATAAAATTCATTTCTGTCTCCCTTCATATTCTTGCTTGAAAGAAAGTGAAAACAAAAAACTTACCATTTGGAGATAGAAATGGTTCACCACAAGATACCCATACAGCAGTAGGTTTTCTGAGGATGGGGGTGAGTAAAGAGTTTTCTATGCCATCCAAACTATCAGATGTCCCAGACTTTGGAACTAATTTGTTTTTCACTTTCATTCTCAGGTTTTCTGGGAAACAAATGACATATTTACCATTGATCAATGAATAATATACAGATTTGCATTCCAAATTCAATTGTTTATTCAAAATATTTCACCTTTTATTAATAACTTAGTTTAAGTATGTGATATCAACACCAGTGGCCAATACATAAATTTGGTCAAAAACTTCATATGCAACCAAAGAGTTTAAACTACCGTGATTGCAAATATATGTTTTAATTCCTTCCTTACACATCACCTAGTTCTGAAAAAAATTGAAGTGCGTAACCAAAATGCCTACTCTCAAATAGGAAGAACAAAGAGATAAGAAAACAAAGTAAAGGGGAAAAGGAGTATAGGAATAGACTAAATCTGGGAAAAAGGTGCCTCAGTGTCCTCATATTTTAAATGGATAATAATATCTATCTCATTCTGCTGTTGGAAAGATTAAAAGAAAAAAGTGAAGTGATTAAAAGAAATAGTGTTTGGCCTATTTGCTTTGGCAAGCATCCAATAAATGCTAGATATTATGTTTATTATTAAATGGAAATAAATACCACTCTCTTTTTATTTGCTAGAAATAAAGCACAATTTGGGCTCTGAGCATCCTAGTAGCCAAAACATAGAGAGAAACACAATTTCCAGACTCATATGTCCCACAGCTAGAAGTAGATTCCTCAAAAGATGAACTTTTCCTTTTCCTGAGATCTGAGAGAAATTCATTTAAGTGTCCTCATGAAGAGATTATTCGTGATATAGCTAATAGTATCCTGTAATAGAAATTAACTTATAAGGAGAACTTACTACGTGCTGGGCATCTTACTAAGACCTTTACGTACACTGTTTCATGTGATTCTCAAAACAACATTCTGAGGTATGTCCTATTACCATTCTTCTTTTACAGATAAGGTGGCTGAACTTTAGTGACACAGTTGGGTGGCAGCAGAGCCAGGATTAGAATCCAGGCCAAGACCATCTCTCTCCAGAGCCTGTGCTCTTAACCACTGGCTGCATAGTAAGCAGTATGCTGAATTCTGACTGACAGCTGCTTCTTTAAAGTTCCTCAATACAAATTTATCGCATACACTAAACCACAATTCCATAAAAGGGGCATCCCGCTAATGGCCCTGCATGATTCAAGTATAACTTTTGGAATACAGGGGGGAAGCGATGGTATCAAAAGAATATCCTTTGATAGTCCTGCATGAATAACATTACTTCCAGCCAAGTTTTAAATAAGAATTTGAAAGGAGAGTGTTTGAAATTATAATCTTACAGAACCCAGAGATCAGACATTCTATATGCCAGATAGAGGCAGAACGATATGCTTTAGTGATCAGCTAGGCATTAAATGTTCACATAATTATTTATTTATTTATTTTTGTCTTTTATTCGTGTCCGGCAACGGACCGCAACCCTCAGTGTCGCGCCCGTACCGGACCGGGACCGGCAACGGGATTGCAACCCTCGGTGCTGCGCCCGTCCCTCGCTCAGCCAGTGAGCGGGAACCAGTCTGTATGTGGGATCTGAACCCTCGGCGGGAGTGCCGCCGCGCTCCCAAGTGGCGCACTGTAGCAGTGCGCCACCGGGCTGGCCCCCACATAATTATTTTTTAAAACTCATTAGAAAACAAAACAAATAATGCCCCATACACAATAATGATAATTAATATTCATTGAATGTTTGGTAAACATCAACCAGGAACTATTCTAAATTATACATTCTTGTGAATATATATTCATATATATATGAGGATCGAATGAATATATTCAATATAGATATTAAATATATATATTCAAGTGAATGTATATTTTCCTGTGGTTTGAATGCATGCCCTCCAAAATTCAAGCATTGAAACTTAATGACCAATCTAATGGCATTAAGACATGGGGCCTTTAAGAGGTGATCAGGACATGAGGGTCCTTCCCCTTGTGAATGGGACTAAGGCCTTTATAAAAGAGGCTTTACACAGTGTTTGGCTCTCTTGTCCTTCCACCTTCCCCCATGTGAGGACACAATGTTCTTCCCCTCTGGAGGATGCAGCCCTCACCAGACAAATGAACCTGCCAGCACCTTGATCTTGGACTTCCCGGCCTCCAGAACTGTGAGAAACAAATTTCTGTTCTTTATAAATTACCCAGTCTGGAGTATTCTGTTATAGCAGCACAAAACAGGCTAAGACAATATTCAATTGAATATATACATATCTATGTGTGTGTGTAGGTATATACACACACACACAGTTGGTTCTCCATATCAGCAGGTTTCACATCTGCCAGTTCAACCAATCACAGATCAAAAAAATAATAATAATAACAATACAACAATTACAAAAATATAAAAATAGAGTATAACAACTATTTACATAGCATTTACATTGTATTGGGTATTATAAGTAATGTAGACATGATTAAAATTATATGGGAGGATGTGCATAGGGCACCACTTTATATAAGAGACTTGAGAATCTATGGATTTTGGTATCTATGGGAGGTCTAGAACCAATCCCCCATGGATACCAAGGGACAACTACACACACACACACACACACACACACACACAGTCATACTATATGTGCCACCTAACAATGTTTCCATCAGCAATGGTCAGTGGTCGGAGCAATAGGCTATACCATGTAGCCTAGGTGTGTAGTAGGCTACATCATCTAGGTTTGTGTAAATACATTCTATGATGTTCACACAATGACAAAATTGCCTGATAACACATTTCTCAGAACATATCCCTGTTGTTAAGTAACATATAATTGTGTGTGTGTGTGTGTGTGTATATATATATATATATATATATATTTATATATGTTCGCTTAGTCCTCATAAAAACTCCATGAAGTGACTACTATTATCCTCATTTTATAAATGAGGAAATTGAGGTACAGAATGGTTATACAACTACTCAAGGTTATTCAGCTAGCAAGTGACAAAGCCAGGATTTGAACCCTGGTATTCTGGCTCCAAAACCCAAGTCCTTAACCTCTAAACCATTCTTCTCAATACAATAATAGCGGAAAACCTCACACTAGGAAAATCGCACTGAATCACAACAAGCAAGATTTGCTTTCATTTACCAAATTCTTGTTTGGGACACAGTCCCTGCCTTCAAGTTGTAAATAGTCTAATGAGAAACCATAAAAATGTAAGCAGATAATTATAGTGGTATGGTTTGAATGTGTCCCCCAAAAGTTCATGTGTCGGGAACTTAACTGCCAGTGTAATAATATTAAGAGGTGACGGGGTCATGAGAGTGGAGCCCTCATGAATGGATTAATGCCATTATTGCAGGAGTGAGTTCTTGAGAGCTGGTGGCTGTAAAAGTGAGCTCTGCTCACTCTCGCAGTCTCTTTCACGCACTAACTTGCCTTTCTGCTTTCCTGCCACGTTATGACTCAGTATGAAAGCCTTTGCCAGAAGCTGCCACTTGGACTTTCCAGCCTCCAGAATTATGAGGCAAATAAACTTCTTTTCTTTATAAATTACCCAGTCTCAAATATTTTGCTATAGCAACAGAAAGTGAACTAAGACAAGGGGTACTGAATGTAGCTTCTGGAAATTTATAGTAGCAGTGGAAATGGGTGGAGCAAAGAAGGAGATTTGAAAGGCAGAAGTAAAGAGAAGACACCTTGTCTTCTTCTATTATAAAGAGATGCCCTGATCTAATCCCAATTTCTTAAGTAGTCTCCATTTGGTTTGGGTTCTGAGTTTGAGAACAAAAGATGCTTATGATTCATAAAGCAACTAAACTATCAAACGTTTTTAATTAATTATATGAAATTTACTGACTGTTTCTGTGCTGAAATCAAAATTCACATTAATTTTTTATTTTTCTTGTTATTTTGTAACAAGAATAACATGAGAATCTCACTGATACTCTTGAAATCATTTACGAAAGTAGCTTCCTGTGATTTTGAAATTCTAGAAGGGGTGACTGAGTTAAAGAATCACATTTAACCTTTTCATGATTAGACATGAATAGAATGAGCTGATTTCTACAGAATATAGCCAACCTTCCATGCTTTTAGTAGTTATCTCTTCTGTTCCAGCAGAAGTTGCATCTTTCTTTTGTTTTGCAGAGTCGTTCTGGATAAAGGATTCATCTACAGCCCATAAAACCAAATCACGCAAGGTAAGGATTGTGGTTCCATCTTTGGTATATAATTTGGAGGCTGCTCTGGCAAGCCCAAGTTGTTTTGTGCATTCTGTAAGAAGCTAGATAACACAGCTGTAAGGAACTGACACGAAATAGTGATAACATTGGGAATAATCATGAAGAGCTTGTCATTTGAGAAATCTGAGGAAATAATTTGAAAACATAGATAGCTGAATAACTACTGATCTTGATCTTTAGTCAGAGACAATTTTTTTATATTAGATTGTCCTACCTAATCTAACATTAGTGCATTCCAGCTGTAAAAATTTCCAGCACCAAAAACCTAACACAGCAGCTGATGTATGTTAATACATCCTAGCATCAGAGTAGTTTCTAAGAAATGTTCTGCCTAGAAACCCACTTTCAATTTTGTTGCTTTATAAGGTACAAAAGTGTTGTAATACTTCATATTGATGAACTGCCTTAAAATAAATGAATAGTTAACTTTCAAACCGAGAACTGATGTGTTTTATTACTTCCATTTTGCAGATGGGAAAACAGTCTAAAAAGTTTAATAATTTTGCCCAAGACCATAAAAGCCAGCTGTGGATCTTGAAGTCACTAGTGACTTCAACTAAATTCCATTTGTTAGTGACTTTAACCAAATTCCATTTGTTAGTGACTTCAAACTAATTCCATTTGTTTCCAACCAAAGAGACAAGTGAATGGATGTGTGTGTATATTTGCAAAGAAGTCTGCTGGATAATTCCATATCATATTTAACATAACTTACAAAATATGTTGTTAAAAATATTGGCCAGAATGTATAGACAAGATAATCATCAAGCAATGAAAAGAAAAAGCTGGGTTTGGGCTTCTGGGTCTCATCCCACCCTCTAATTATGGGGAGCAACCTTCAAGACATAACCCTTCCTAACATAACCCTCGCATCTTCAATCTGAAAAGGAAATGGAACACCCTATCAACAACTAAGCACTCAGATGCACCAGATTATAAATGAGGTGACATCTCTTAGACTATTCAGATGACATACAACTTGAAGCTGGCATGGCAAGACAGAAAAAGGCATTCTGTCTATCATGAGAATGAAGAAAACCTGGTAAGTTTGTTTTCTCCATTCTTTTATATCTTTGCTCTGGAGCCAGTCTAAAAGCCATATTCTGGTTTCTCATTTTTCTCAATCTATGTCCAAAGAAATACAATCAAAAAGAATGTCTTTAAGAAGACAGAGATTGTGATCTTATCAGCTTAAATTGGTGATTCTGGCCAGGGATATTTATCCCTCAATTCCACTTTTTTTGTCAGAAGAGTCACCATCATCATTACCTCTGAGGACACAAGCAGCACTGAAGTGAGAGCCACTTACCATGGGGAATGTTCTGGCCACAATTAACTTCCCATTATGATATCCATCCCCATTTCTGTATGCAATTATTTTCACTGCCTTCTGGTGTGTAGTTACCATACCACTGTGAGGTGCAGCTTGTGTACAGGTCTTGATCCGTAAAGACAGTAGGCGTTCTTTGTAATAACTTAGAGTTTTTTCAGCCTCATAAGACGATAAATCAGCCTGATTTAAAATAATAATAATAATAATTGTACATTTACTCCAAGCTTTTTCTTTTAGTTTTGTTATTTTGATATACTTCGGTCTCTTAATTTAAAAAATGTGTGTGTGTGCATGTGTGGGCATCTAAATTTTGCAGAGCATGCTTCACGTACTATAGATATTGAATGCTGTAATGAGAAGGACATTGGTTCAGAATTCCTCAGTTCTCTTTCCAACTCTGTCACTAGTTACTAGATGAATTTGGGCATCTGGTTTGTGTTTCTGGCCTTTTGTTTTGGGGTTTTTTGTTGTTGTTGTTGTTGTTTGTGTTGTTTTGTTTTGTTGGTTTTCTCCTGTGACAGGAAATGGGGAAGAAGAATGCCAGGGCCAGAGAGAGCCAACGGGCCACTAACATTACAGACCTTCTCTTAATTTTTAACTTTAGAATGACGCCATCCCATGGTGGAAGATGTTGATGAATGGGGAAGGAAATGAGTGCAGCCTTAACTACTTGGTAATGAGGGTGATGAACATCACTCTTCAGCTTTCCCTTTTCATCCCTACCTAGGATGCTTTCCGGAGGGAAAAGCTCTGTCTGAGATATCCTAACATTGGGGACTCTTTCCAATTAGCCCCTCACAACGTCCTTAAAACTATCCCACTATCTCTAAAGCAAAGCCAAGTGCCTTCAGGCCTCCCAGAAGACTGACTTCCTTTCTCCTTCGGAGTTATTATTTCAGTTGATGATTATTGTAATCTGTTGCTACCCTAATGTGACCCCCCACTCAATGTCAGGAAAAGGGGAGAGAGTAGGTGACCTGGGAATGGGATGGACTAGCCCTGAAGGTTACACCAGTTTTGGAAGGTTCCCCACCTTTTAGGAATCTCTTCTTTCTATTCAGATCTATAAGTTCTCTTAGTTCTTTTCACTTCTAAACTTGAAGGGGAGCATTTTTTAAATGGTGCCATTTTAAATTAAGGTCACAGGAAAGTGGCAGAGTATTTTTCTCCATGAGCTCTAACTAGTAGTAGACATGGATGTGTGAATTCAGGCACACAACCCAAATAGTCATTAACAACATGTCAAATTCCCCCTGAAATGTTTCATACAAGCAAAAAAGAGTTTTACCCTGTGGATACTGGCAAAAAAGCTGCTCCACTAAGTAAAGATTAGCAGTTACTTTCTCAACTAAAAGCAACACAGGGAACAGTGAAAGGTGTCAGTAGATGATTAAAGCTCCAGAAGTGCCCAATTAACTTTAAAGGGTGTATCGAACTATTAACAGACAATGTATTTTAAATTACATTGGGGAAAAGGAAATCAATGCAGGTAGAATGGTCAAGTTGCATCTGAGGAAGATGAATTGGATGAGTGGAGATGAACTTGAGTGGAAGGCGGATAATGAATGCATCAAAGTTTCTAAACTGTTACCGCACGTGCATTAGCAGAGCTCAGATCATTACACACCTCGGCCACACTGATGATCTTGAAAGGCCCTCGTGAGAAGGGCTTCTGGGTCTTGGAGCCAGAAGCACAGAGGAATGGAACCCCTGGAAGCAACTGTTTCAGTCCCTTCTCTGCTCTCATGGATTGTCCACAAGCCAAGCACAGCATCATTTTTCTTTTTCCACCAGGTGAGAGATAATAGTATCCCTAAAATAGGAGGCAATGATGCTTTTACAAAGATGCATCTATTATGATAGCATTTCTGTAGAACATTTTACAATATAAATAATGTACTTTTCTTATCTCCAAATGCTAAATTTTAAATCTCAACATAAATGTATTATTTTTCTCCCTAATAACTATATTTTTTAAAAAGTACTTTCAGACTCTGTAATGACAATTCAACACCAATGAACATAACATGTGTCCAGACCATTGTTTCTTGGAGAAATGGTCAGTTCCAAATTTGGGGCAAGATATATACAAGATAAGAAAGAGACATCTCGTGCCCAGAAAGAAAATAAGCCATCCCAGAGTGAAGAAATCATGTCAAAAAGGCACAGGAACGAACATGAAGGTCCACACTGGCCCTAAGTGGGACAATTTGAAAGTAACAAAAAGAATGACAATGGAAATGACTTTGAATATGTTTGAATATGTAAAATCCCATGAGTTCATAATGATGCTAACAATATAAGTAAAAACAAACAAACAATAAAGAACCCAAGCCAATGAAAACAAAACCAAAACTTACTGGAGGCCGTTGGAATGGATACAAACAATAAAGAACCCAAGCCAATGAAAACAAAACCAAAACTTACTGGAGGCCGTTGGAAGCAAATTAGCACCAATTTATAACTCTTAAAATAGGCTGTTAGAAAGTGTGGCAGGTTATATGCAATGATGGACACAATAAAACCGTCCCATCCTTCTGCGCATGCCCTTTTGAAATGTGACTTTTGCTACTCCTCTGGTCAAGCGTAGTTTCTTTCTCCTTTCTCCATTCCTTGAATCTGGGCAAGGCCATGTGACTTTCTTTGACCAATGTATCATTAGTGAATGTGATGCAAGCAGATGTGTAAGAAGTGCTTGCACACTAGATCTTGTTCTCTTTTGGCTACAACTGGAACCCTGAGACCACAATGTGAACAACTTGAGCTAGTCTGCTTGAGAAGCCATGTGGTTGGAGAACCAACACCCCAACTAATAGCTTGCCAACCACCAGACACGGGAAGGAGGCTGTCTTTGACCAACCAGTCCCCATAGAACCACCAAACTACTGAAGAACCACCAAATGACCACAGCCACATTAGTGACCCTGGGCAAGACCAGCAGAACTTCCCAGCTGAGCCCAGTCAAAATTGCTGACCCACAAAGCAAAACATGATTGTTGGTTTAAGCCACTGAGTTTTCAGTTGGTTTGTTACACTGCAATAGATAAGTGAAAGGGATAGAAAGAATTAAGCATTTTTCCTACTTTCCCCTACAAATCATACCTTTGGGTAGTCAAATAACTACTTGATGAGGTACATTTCTTCTTATATTAAAAGTTTGGCT